TGGCCCTGGCCTGCCTGGCCCCCCTGGCCACAGCTTCCAGCCCCCTATCGGCATCAAGCAGGAGCCCCGGGACTACTGCATCGACTCAGGTGGGTGCAAGTTCGGGGGGGGCAGCTGGGTGCTGGCACCTGGGGGACTGTGGGTTACAGCAGTGGCACCCAGGGGAGTGGAGTCATCTCTGCTGTCTATGGGTCGTGGGCAACAGCATGGCGGGTGCAGGGTTGAGCCTCGGGCAGCAGGTGCCATGTCACCCTGGGATTACCGCAGAGCCAGGCTGCTGCTTTGCCTGGTAGATGATCTTTTTTGTTTTTCTCTCTTTTTCCTCCCCCCTCTTTCACCCCCCCCCCTTTTCTTTCCACACCTCGGGGGGTAGAGGAGTTTCCAAAGCTGGGGGGATAGAGCAGGCATTCACCAGATGCTGTGTAGCATGGTCTGTGCCATAGCTGTGTGCTGGGGCACCCTGTGGCAGCTGGTGGGTCCCCCTGCAGCTCTGGCCTGGGGCCAGCTGTGATTTCTGGCTTCTGGACCCTACCAGCATCATGGAAAAATCCTCTAATCGCCTTAGGACCTAAAAATACCCCGACCTCGGGATGGAGGGTGGCATAGCCGAGCAGATGGCAGGGGAGGTGTGACGATGCCTCCCTTCCTGTGGGGCCCAAATAACATGGTGAAAACCCAAACTGACTTAGACCTTGCTGCCGGTCCTCATTGCAGCGCCACCCCTCCCCATAAATTGTACTGGTTTTCCCCCAAAGCTGGGTGTGGGGGCTGGGGGTGGGTGCAGTGGCCCAGGGTTCATGAGGGGGAAAGACGCTTGGGCTTGGCTGCAGGATGTGCTTGGGCAGGCAGATGCTGCTGAGCACCTGTGGGACCCATGGGGCATATGTCCTTAACGCCACCTTCATCTCCCTCGCAGAAGTGCCTAACTGCCAGTCCTCGTACCTGCGGGGGGGCGTCTTCCCCAGCAGCCATGATGGTGAGTGTGCCCCTGGCCACCTCCTGTTCACAGGCATCCCTGGCATGTCCTGTCCCATTCCTCCCTTGGGGCAGGCAGACCCCTCCTCTCAGCTGCTGTGCACCCTGAAAATGCCTGCAAGAGCACTGTGGTGCCTGTAAGAGCCTGCATGCGAGCAGCACCGGCACCGCTGCTAAAAACAGGACCTGTGCCATGCAGCCACTGGCTCCTGAGAGCATGCTGCAAGGGCCCAGCAGTGCTGCACCACATAATGCAGGGTAACACGCCCAGTGTAGCTGCTAAGAGGGTTTTGGTTCCTCCAGCTCCCCAGGGTGGGGGGGACACAGAGCTGTGTGGCATTCAGCTGGTGAGCCAGTGCAACGCCACTGAAATAATTGGGGTTGCTCCTGGTGCTGGGGGACAGGGTCTTGGTGCTGGATTGGGCCAAACCACGGGTTTTTTTGGGGTCCAGCTGGGGTGGTGGAGGGGCCCTGTGCTTACCCAAGGGTCTTTTTGCCCTAGGATTTTCATATGAAAAGGACACACGACTGTATTTTGATGACACGTGCGTGGTACCAGAGAGGCTGGAGGGTAAGAATCTGGCCCCAGATTTACCCCAGGGCTGGGGGTGACCAGGGCTCATGGAGGGATCCAGGGGGCCAGGCTCCACAGGGGACAGCTTTTAAGGCCAAGCTGTGCCAGTGCA